ATTATGCCATTCATTCGTCGATCACCGAAATTGAACAAAATCAAATTTATACCACGGGACGAAGGTGTAGTTTTGAATTTGACAATGTTGGCTACTAAATGGACGACCCGAAACGGTGACACTAATTTGAACTTCATCGAAATGAGACGAGTGGAATCGATTGAATGGAATCATGGTTTTTTTGATTAAGTACAATTTTTAAAATATTTTTTAATCACGGTTCCACTGGAATCTAGAATGTTTATCAAAAATGTATATCAGTGTTGATTCAACACAATCTACGAGTATAATGTAGTTTATTCACGTTTTCCATTAAACAATGTACTAATCATGTAGGGATATCAAAACCACCACAGCCACTCAATGATTCCGAATTGGATCCAGTCAATGATGGTAAGTCATTTTAATTGTTTGTTTGTTTTTTGCTTGGACGCACAAACAAGCACACTGGTACTCGGTGCCAAGCTATGGCGTTCGAAAGAAATATACATGAAAATGTATGAAATTTAATGAGATTTTCTTTATTTCGATTACAGCTGGACCACGTATTCCACTACAACCAAGAGGTGTATTTTTATGTATGTCTTATTTTTTATGTACAAAAATCAATGGATTTTTTTTTTCATCAAACAATGTACTAATCGTGTAGGGATATCATCGATTTCGAGCAAAAATATAAATTTATTACAGTAAATGGACCAAAAATTGATTTTTTTTTCTTCTTAAATAAATAAATTTTATCCTTCATATGTAGTATTAGCCACCCAAGACTGTTTCGTCGTGCCCGATGCATTTTTATCAGATTTTTCTCTCAAAAACTTGAGTCCCGCTTCAATGGAATCGGTAATATCGCCGGATGGTGGTCGATTTTTCGATTTCGCTGTCGAAGTGGGTCCATAATAATCAAAAGTTGGTGGTGGCGGTACTTCAGCCCTACGTCTTTTATGCGATTCATCATCATTAACTGGAAAATCATGTCCATCCAATTCATTACGTATGGGTTCATTAAACATATTTTCATTGCGTCGTTTAATCGGTTTTGGTTTTTTCGTGGTGAATCGATTGAATGACTCTTCCATCATTGGTGGTGCAAATTCAGGAATACGTTCGGTGCGTTTCATGTCATTCCATTGTTGTTGTGACATTGGTTCGGGTTTTTCTGGTTTATATTCCCACCTATCATCATCCTCATCGCTCGACATTGTCGGTCTCTTCTTTCTATCTTTACCCTCATCCTGCAGCGAATCAGAAAAGAAAAATGGAAATGAATCAACATGTAATTGGAATAAAATGGAATAATCGAACCTTTCCCTCATCCCACGGTCGTAAATGATTTTGTCGTTTATCCTCGCGTTCTCTTTCCATCTTCTCTTTCTTTTTCTTCTCTTTCTCATCACGTTTACGTTGTTTTCGTTCCTCTTTGTTTTCCTCGTCTGTTTTCTCTTTATTTCCATTCGCTTCAAATTCATCTCGTGTCAATGGTGGCAGTCCGCTTCTGGCTCGTTGTCGATTTTTTGCGCCAAAAATTCGTTCGGCCACCATTTTCTCTCGTGCCAATCGTACCTCTTCTCGTTTTCGTTGCTCTTCCAATGTTTTATCCCGTTCACTTTCAAGTGTTTTTTGTTGTTTGGCCCGTTCGGCAGCGTCCGCTGAAAATGAATAATAACCAACACCATGCGTACGTGCCTCATCGAATAATACGTCTTGATAGTGAATTTGATCACGATTCAAATTTTCTTGTTCTTTTTGATCCCATTGTACACGCATCTCTTCCATTTTCGATGACTTTGATATCATACTCATAACATCATCGTCGTTTGTCGGTTTGTACAGCGGTAAATCAGCGCTGGATATTCCTTTGGTATCAATATACCATGGAGTTTCTTTCACTTTTTCAACGCTTACGTCTTCGGCTCTGGGATCTACTGACATGCGACTTTTGGCCGCATCGGCCAAATCACGATCTTTCTTTTTGAAAAAGTCCAAATCCTCTTTCAAACAACGACGCGTTCGACCCAAACAATCAGTATACTCCGTCCATTTATCATCGTCTTCTTTCCCCGAATCAATTTTATGATGTTCGGTATCACTATCCGAATCGGAACTTGACGATTCAATCGGTCGGCGTTCGTCTTGTTTCTTCTGATTGAAACGTACCAAACATGTATCGTCGGAATTTAACGAACCACCACTATTTGTCATTTTGTCGTACAGTTTTGCTTTTGCTTCGAGAATTTTTTTCGATTTTGCCAACATTTCATTGTCTTCATCGGTACGTTTTTCTTTTTCCGTTCTGACCACATCCAACTTTGACGGTTCAGCCGATTTTGTCGAGTGCGATCGATTTGCAGAGCTTGATGAACGCTTTGGAATGAACCCAGAGAATGGATCCGATGTACTAGTGACGGTGGGAGATTTTTTTATACGATTTACTTCTTCTTGTTTTCGCAGCAATTCGGCTTTTAAGCTGAGCAACTGAAATTAGGGGAAAAAGAAAGCGAGAAAGAATAAGAAAAATTCAACGAGAAATGTATGTGCCTTGGCACAATTTTCTTTAAAAAAATATATTATGATCTTACCGACGACAAATTTACGTCGATTCTCTTATTGGGGTCGTTCATTTTATGTTGTAAAAATTTTAAATTGAAAAATTAATTCCAGAAGTGTCTATTTATTTAAAAAAATATATATTTTTCCTTCTCAAAAACATCAACACAATGTTATTTAGTGAGAACGACGATAAACGTTGACAGGTCATTGACATTGTCTAGTGTCTAATGAATGACATTATCGAAACTGACTTGAATCAACTTCATGTGTGTTCCTTAAATTCTTTGAGCTAATGCTACTGTCAAACCACATTCCATTGTAGTGTTTACAAAAAGAGCAAACGTTGCGCTGTCTTTCATCAAAAACATCATTTTTTTTCATCGAATTTGTGAACACCATCCATTAATTTCATTGTAATTCGCGAAATATCCAACGTACGTTTCCTTGGATTGCATCAAATCATTATCATCTATTGTCATCGCTTGTGTTCGATTTCACAAAGCAAACATGTCAAACCTACCAGATGTAAGTGTCCGTACCATCATCATGATGAGAGTGATTAAATGATTCGTTCAATTTCTTATGCAATTATTGTGATTCATTTTTAAGGTCAAGGATTACTTCGATTTTTTGAAATGTACGGTGTGCCATGAATTATTTCGTGAGAAAATTTTCCTTTGTGAAAGAGGTCATTCGTTTTGTAAACCATGTCGAGAAATACTGGGAAAACAGAAGGAAACAAATATGTGTCCAGAATGCCGTGGCAAATTTACGGGTGCGGAAAATTATACATTGCAACGCGGTATTGAACAACTAATCGATTTATGGAAAAGTGTTTCGAAGAAATCCGATACAGCTGGCCCAAGTGACAGCAGTTGCCACGAAATTGTTGTAGCAAAATTAGCGGAATCTCTTCCCGCTTTGGTCAAATCTCTCTCAGAATTTGAGAAAAATGACAATGGATCACCACAGCCATTCAATGATCCCGAATCGGATCCAGTCATCGATAGTAAGTCATTTCAATTGTTTGTTGTTGTTTTTTTTTTGCTTGGACGCACAAACAAGCACTCTGGTACTCGGCGCCAAGCTATGGCGTTCGAAAGGAAGATACATGAAAATGTATGAAATTTAATGAGTTTTTTTATTTCGAATACAGCTGCACCACGTATTCCACTACAACCAAGAGGTGTATTTTCATGTCGTATTTGCGAAAACGAGGAACTCAGTGAAATCAGCGATACCTACGAAGTGATCGGAAAGGCATTGCGGGTCCCAATTTGTCGAATGGTCAACCACTTGCTAACATTTCACAAAGAAGATTTTTTCGAAGTAAGTTTGATTTTTTTTTCCGGTCAAAACGTTGACATTTTGCTAGCTGTTCACATTTCATATGACTTTATTTTCGATTCCCTGCAGGCACCTTTGCCCGACGGCAACCCTGAATTCACCAAGACATATGAATTCGATTGCAAGAATTTATGTCGAGCCATACGTGTTCATCAGTATGGTGTGTTCTTTTTTATTATGAGAGTGTATCGTAACCACGGAAAAACATATATTGGATCTTGGGTATAAACTCATCACTTATAAATTACTATTCCAAGATGTTTAATTAGATGTTGACCAATTTACATTATTTCTTCTAATCATCCCCAGGTACAAGGTGTCTACCCCAGCTCCAACTGCACACTCTTTACGTTCGAGCAAAAAATGCGAATTCGCAACGATGTCGCTCGTTACAGTGATTATGTAAGTATGCTTTATTGAATTTCTTTTTTTTTTTTTTTGAAAAAAAAACATGTACTTTAGTACTTAGCTAACAGTTTGGCAAAAAATAAGAGAGTAAGAGAGTTTTTCGGAAAACCCTACTCCTATATTATACAATATTAACAGTGTCTATCAATAGTTACTGTTTGTGCATATTACGATTGTGTGACCCTTTGTACTTGAACTCTACATAAACAAAAAGTCACAGAAAAATTGCTGTGGTCACACAAACGAATCTTTTACTTTCTGGAAAAATGTGATGATGGTTTCCTCATTTAAACAGTGTTTTGAAACACTGCAATTTAATGACAAACACTTAAATAAATCGTCATGTTTGTCGTAGACCAAAATTCATATTGACTCTGATTGATATAAATAATCGACCTTTATCACCTGAATAAATAATGGAAAATATGTCTTTTTTCAGACATTTGGTCAAAATTCAAGCGTTCGTTATATCCTAGAGAATAAACATTGTTTGTATTATGAAACGGAAATGACGCCAAACGATATTGGGAAAATTGTGGTCGATGTCAAAATCTTAAGATCTGGGCAAGAACATGAACATGAAGGTCGTCGCAACACTACCGAAGTTGAGGTACGTTAAAACTCTTTAAAAAACATTCATTTTTGCAATGACTAGCTCGAATTCAATCCATTCTGTTTAAAAAAAATTATTTTATTTTTCAGGATGTCTCCAATCAATAGCTGCCAGTTCAACGAGAAAACATAACAAACGTTACCATTTACCATATCTAAAAACATGTAAGCTCATCCGTAGGGAAAAATCGCTGCAGCATTCATTTAATTTCAGTAAAATTGCCTTAAAATATCCGATTTGAATGGTAAATATGGATATCAATTGTGATTTAAAAAAAGCGAATTTCATACAATTTAAAAGCATTTAAAAGCAAATTAGTTTGGGGAAAACAAAATCATAAATTTTTCTACATTCATTTATTTACATTATAGAATGCCGAATGTATCGGACTAAAAATCAATGCCAATTTATCCTAATTTCGTCAATTCTTCATGTTAAAGTTTTCTTTGAATTGATCGAAAAATTTGGGAATTTATAAAAAAAAAAATCGTTGAATAAACAACAGTTTTTTGGAAATGAAATTTTTTTGTTGTTTTTTGTGTAAAAAAAAACAATTTTTGTCATTTTGAGCGCAAAGCAGCGTTTTTCTAAAGAAAAAAAAATATTTTTTTTATTTCGGTCTTTGAAATGAATTTTATAAGTAGAAATCGAATTGGAATAAACAAATCATATGAAAAATGATCCGATGAACGCACCCTCGTGGCTCTACAGACAATATATAAACATTTGACAAAATTTGACATATTCCAATTCAGAGGCAAACAACGAAAACATGCACGCACACCATTGCAACGTCATTCACACCGACACGTATCCGAGACTGTGTAGTTTTTTTCTTCTTCTCATTGACAGCGATTTACATGTTTCTCGCAAATCATACGTCAAAATCCATTCTGGAGTGTGTATAATATGAGTGTGATGCAGTAAAAATGCGTACAAATGTGTCATTCAATTCATTACATTGATTTGGTTTATTGCTTTTAATTAAAACGGTCGACAAATTGTGTTTAACTCGCAGTTTAGATACTTTTGGCAACACCAGTGGCATTTTATTTTCATTTGTTCAATCGAATTTTCGTTCTGTAAATTGAACCAAATTCTTTGACTATTCGTGCTATTGGTAAAAAAATCAAGCAGATTTTTCAAAAAAATACCAAAAAACAATGGTGAGTACAATATTGTTGACGAAATCTTTGTGAAATTCAGCGCAATTGTTTTTGTGCGTATTTTAAAAGACAGTATTGGTTGGGCTGATTGAATTGACCTCCAAGCGTTCGCCACGACACACTGCATTCGTTTATATAAATCATGATGTGTACTGTTTTGTCATTCAAACCCTGTGATTGTTGGAATATTCTTTTTTCAGGCTTTTATTGTAAATGACGTTGCATTATCACCGGGACCAAAGACACTTTTATTCGATAAACACGTCGAATATATTGCAAACCATGGAAATGATCAAAATGATTTTGTAAGTATATCGGAAAACATGAACGTACTTTTTTCACCATTTTTATACGCCGATATTTTCTAATGCAACAACTTTTTTTTTGCAGGAATATTGTATGACCGAATTTTTGCGAATGTCCGGCATTTATTGGGGCGTTACCGCACTTGATGTTATGGATCACTTGGAGAAAATCGATCAAGCATCAATCGTTGAATTTATTAAAAAATGTCAGTGTCCAGTATCAGGCGGTATTTCACCCTGTGAAGGCCATGACCCACATATTTTGTACACACTGAGTGCGGTTCAGGAATGACAACAAGACCATTTTCTTCTTAATAAAGGAAATTCAGGGCATTTTTTACATATTTAGATAAAATAGTAATTTTTGAATATTTTTTTTTGCTTCAAAAGTGAAGACAATGCACGTAGGCACTACGTGCTATATTGATACGAAAATGTGTTTTTGAAAACATTTAAATTTTTATGAATATTTTCAATTTCAGATTCTTTGTATCTATGACCGTTTACAAGAAATTGACTTGGAAGCAGTGGCCAAATATGTGAGCGGACTTCAGCAACCGGACGGTAGTTTCTTTGGTGACAAATGGGGCGAGGTTGACACACGATTTTCATTTTGTGCCGTTGCCATTTTGACATTAATCGTAAGTATGGATGTATAGCGCTTAGGTCATACCAAAATTACCAACCTAAAGCAATTGCTATCAGTTGGTGACACTGTCAAAATTTTAAATATTGTTTATTTCCAACGAAATATGGAGAAAACGATGTCAAAAATACTTGGCATTGAATATTTGTATTTGTTTAATTGGAATCACATTGTGAAATTCACAAAATTATATGTGACCAACTTCAATTGAAAAATAATCAAAATATCTTTAGCTCAAACTCTTGGCAGTGTGTTTTTCTTTGGTAAATTTAATTGTGCTGTAGTGAGATCGCCTCATAATATCTTTAGTCACTGTGATTTTTGGGCGGTGGTACCAGAATGAGAATTTTCATTTTTATCTCTTTTTTCTCTTTTTTTCCAGCATAAAATGGATGTGATCAATTTACCAAAAGCAATTGAGTTTGTGATGTCATGTTGTAATCCAGATGGTGGTTTCGGTAAGAGATATTCTTTGAACTACTGTGTTTTCTATTGTTATTCCGAAGAAGTACCTAAAGCTATTGAATAGAGTTTGGCCTTGAGATTAATATATAGATTGAAATAGAAGCCAAATCTATTTCGGTGGTGTCGAAACCACATATATGACATAAGTTCATTAAAAAAGTTTTAAATAATAAAGTAAGTTTGATTCAAAGGAATTTGCTAATTTATGCTTTTTTCCCATTTCTCTAGGTTCAAAGCCGCACGCAGAAAGTCATGCTGGTTTGATCTACTGTTGTGTTGGTTTTTTGTCATTGACCCAGCAATTGCATCGTCTCGACGCTGAAAAGCTGTGTTGGTGGTTGTGTGAGCGTCAATTGCCAAGCGGTGGTTTGAATGGACGTCCAGAGAAGCTACCCGACGTTTGCTATTCGTGGTGGGTGTTATCATCGCTAACAATTATGGGCCGATTGCATTGGATTAAAGCCGACCAGCTAGAGCAGTTTATTTTGTCTTGTCAAGATAACGAAACCGGTGGTTTCAGTGATCGAACGGGCAATTTACCGGATATTTTCCATACACTTTTCGGTTTGGCCGCCCTGTCATTGCTAAAAGCCGACAAGCGCCTTAAACCTATCAATGCGACACTTTGTATGCCACAGTATGTCATCGATCGTCTGGGAATTAAACCGCAATTTTTATAAATTTAAATATATTTAAACAGTTTAGCGTTTAGGTGAACGATCCGATAGATGGATTTTAAACAATTTCTTTATTTTAACTATTTCCAATACAAAGACGAAAAATTGAGAAGAAGAACATACAAATAACAAAATTATTTCTCTTTGTTTTGCACTAAACAAAAAAATCATTTCCAACAAATAAGAATTGTATTATATGAATTGAATTTGAATTGTATTATTGAACTGCTGATTACACTGTTTATTATGTATAAAAGAAAAACATTGCAGTTAAATATAGAGTAATAAAAGAAAACAAAAACGAAATATTGGAGTTTAAATATCTCGATAAGGAATTCTCAAAGATATCATATTTCTCTCTTTCGAGTACCGGAGTACTAATTTGTATGTCCAAACAAAAAACAATTAAAATTATTTCGAATTGCCATCCTGAATCCTGAAGAAACCATAACATATTTGAAATGAAATGGTTTGCCATTCGTTCCTTTTGTTTTTGCTTTATTTCATATAAACTCAAAGTTGATTATTTTATTAAAGTTGATTATCATTATAATTTTTAAAGTTTAGCAGTACTACGCAATTTTGCCATCACCCTCCCCCCACCTGAAAAATTCTCATCACCACCTGTGTTCAGCACATATTAAAGAAATTAATCCAATAGCTTGTTTGTTAATTACCTTGATGTGTTGCAACTTGCAAGAGTTTGTGTATTTTTCCTGGTACTTCTTTTAGATGAATTATTTTGATTTATGGACTCATACTTCTCATACTTCTTATCAGGAACGAAATATTTTATTTCTATTTGTGCTATGCTTTAAATTGCTGGTTTCCTATTGTGCAGCGGGATGTCTACTTGTGGAGGCAACAGCGTGTCCTTTTTTTGCTTCTAGATAAGCAACGATGTCTTCAGATTTTCGAAATTCTTGAATATCTACCATATTAACATCTAGCCCTTTCTCCACTAGAAATTTAACCATCTCCAAATCACCACCATATAGGGCAACTTGACTTAATAGTCCTTCTTCAGAAGAATTACGAACATTTGTAATAATCTTAATGCTAACTTTTTGTTGTTCTTTGTAGATGTTCTGAATATTTCCAAACATGTTATCTATCGCCTCTAGTATTGTAATAATATCTTGGTTTTTAGCGAAATCTTTTGGAACTTTCTCGAATTTATTTGGAGCATTATAAATAGCACCATTTTCTAATAACCATTTAACAATATTAAACTCACCTACCCTACTAGCATAATGTAAAAGTGTATTATGTTGATTGTCACGAGTATTAATAATGGTATTGATGTCTAATTCATAATTTGTGCCTTTCATTTTTAAATTATCAATCCTTAATTGAGGATTATCACTTTGTATTTCCTTAAATAATGTATCAATTTGTTTCAGTAGTTCATAGGTTTGATCATGTGCCAAGTGCAACGGCATCTTATCGTCTGAATTTTTTGCATTAAAACTAGCACCATAATTTAATAACAATTTAACATTTTCAATTTTATTGTTTTTAACAGCAATATGTATGGGTGTATTTTTATTGAAATCAATAGCTTCAACATCTGCATTATTATCTAATAAAAATTGTACAACATCAAGCTGATCAACAGAAGCCACTACATGTAATGGTGTATAACCATCTTGATTCTTTACATTAATATTTACACCTTCCTTAATAAAATTTTCAACCTCTGATGTATTCCTTTGTTCTATAGCAATAAATAGATTTTTAACTGCTTGAAACAATTCAACAATATTGTTATGCCCATTTTGTGTGGCAACTACTTCGGGGGTTTCACCTTGCAAATTCTCTTTATTGAAAATGGCTCCTTTTTGTAAAAGTAAAGAAACAATTTGTTCATGACCGTTTTGTGCTGCCAAATGTATTGGTGCATTTTTCTGAGAATCTATTGCATCAATAGATATACCTTGATAGTCTCGGTAACGTGGATATCGCAAAGACTCTTTTCTTCGTTCAAGATAATCATGATTATGTTTCAATAAAATTTTGATTGCCTGTTCATCATTCGTTTCAGCTGCTATATGCAACAAAGTCTTCCCTGCAGCATTGCGCGCATTAAGAATAAATAACATAGGATTGTTACCATCATATGCATCTGCACGACCAGATCCATATGGACCCCATTTATGGATATCATGATTCATACTACATTTCAATAACTGATTATTCAAATCTTGCATCAAATTTTGACTACTGAATAATACATTCAGAACATCCAGTAGCCAAACTATTTTATCACTAGATGATTTATGTTTTGAATTACGTAGCATACTCGGTGTTCTATCGTTTCTGTCTGTTTTATCAAAAAAGGCACCAAATTGTAACAAAAATTCTACAATTTCAACTTGTCCAAGTTCGGACGCCCAATGTAATGGTATTCTACCGCTACCTTGTTCTACCTTGTTAACATCAGCACCGTATCGCACAAGAAATTTGACCCATTCAAAGTTTTTCGATATGATAGCATTATGTAGCCTAGGCATATCATTTTCAACAAGATCTAAATTAAATTGAATGGGATTTTTGAAAAATGCAACCTTATCCTTCATTAACTGACGTGCATTTTCAGAAATACGTGCATCTTTTTTAAGTAAGTAATTTATAACATCTACTTGATCAGATAAAACAGCACAAGAAAGAGGTGTTTCATGAGACTCATTTTCCCAATTGATGTTTGCTCCTTTATTAACTAAATATTCAATTATATTTAATTCACTACGAGCATATATTGCCATAAAGAATGGAGTTTCGCCTTTATTGTTTGTATCATTAATTAGTTCGCCATTGTCAATTAGATACTTGATCGATTTCAAGTTGGCACCCGCATCACAAGCAGTATGCAGCATGGTATTTGCATCTTCTTCAAAATAATGATTTTCCTTCAAATATTGGATAATATTTTCCTGATTATTATCTATAGCCTGACGTAAATGTAAGTGATGGTTAGAAACGTTTTCTTTAGTTATAAAATGCTTAAAAGTCTTTATATGACCATGTTCAGCAGCAGCCTGTAGAATCTGTATAATATACTTATTTAAACTTTTATTGTAAGAACTGTAACCAATATCATAATTTGTTGTGGTACTACCGTGTTCTAATAGGTATTTTGTAATGGTCAACCTATGCTCATCACTAAGATGTTCACTTAAATTAACACGATCTAAAGGATAATAACTATTATCATCATTGTTTAATATCTCTTTTCTTTTTTCCGAATCGTATATTGTTCCTAATAAAGCTACGATGACTTCAACACGTCCATGCACAAAAAAGTACGACAGTATTCGTGACTGATCTTTTTTATCATTTAATTTCTTAAATATATCTGGTTTTTTTAAGAGTAATTTTTCTTGTATCGGGCGATATTTGTTATCATGATTGGCATAAACAGCTAAAATGCCCCCATTATATAATCTCATATTTGGATTTCTCTCTGTATATTTGTATTTTTCTCTATAATCACCGTATAGCATAGTTTTTATTAAAGTATTGACATCCTCATCGTTTAATGAGTCTAAACTGGCGCCTTTCAATAATAGATCGAAAGCACAACAAATATCATTTTTTTGCATGGCATAATCCAAGGCACTCTTGTCCGTATTATCTTTTGTATTTACAAACTTGACCAATTTAGAATTTTCATATTCGGGATACTTAAACCGACCATGTTTTAAAACACTGTTTTCATAAGTGTCATTGGCGTAATCTAAAAGTTTTCGGACATCTTTGCAACGACCATCGATAATAGCATAATGTAGAAATGTTTTGCCCAAAGTATCAAGTTTTTTTGCCCAATCGCTATAGCCATATTTTAATACAGATTTAATAAAGTTTGTATGCTTTTTTGTAGAAACAAAATTCAATAGTGGCTTATTTAATGCTGAAGTAATTTTTTCTTGTCTTCCATTTAACTGTCCAATTATACTGTTAATGAATATTGGGGATGTATTTAAGAACACATCATCAATACACTGGAGGTTCAGTGTATCAGCAGGTTCTGTAAGTATTTTCTTGGCTATAGAAAAAGAAGTAAAATATTCAGCAAAAGTTCGATGTATGAAGTGTGGTTTATCATCTATAATTTGATCAACAATACCCTCATTGTGCTTGCCACTTTTAACTTCTTCTATCAAACCATTTAGTTTTTCAATAGCGTTTTGAGATAGTAATTCTTCCAACTCTTCATCGCTGAATAATGCTTGCAATGCTAACAATTCATACTTCTTTTTAAATATATTATAATTCTGATCGGCTAATTCTTCTTCATCTGTTTTACTGAAATCTCTACCTTTCTTTTCTACCAAGTGGAACTCATAAAATTTCCTTCTAACAAAACGATCATACAATTCAAGTAAAGTAAAATCCTTTGGTAACACAGGTGTAGCGCATTCTGATTTCAAAAATTCTTTACAGCCTTGCCATTCTGATGGTTGTTTTTCTTTCTCATCTTGAAAAATTTCTGCAATTATTCTCGTTTGTAACGGAATACCAATAAATTCTCGATCTTCATCATTTATTGATTTAGAAATGTGTTTCGTTATAGATTCAGCATATGTATTTAATCGATCTGTATATTTTCCACCTGAATTCTCTAGTTTCAATTTTTTAGTCCAAAACTTAGTCAAAAAATCATTTTGTTCGTCTTGTGATAATGGCTTCAATACATTAGAGAATACTCCTAATGCTCGTTCTAGTTCTTTGCTCATATTTGGTCTAGTGGTAATAAATAATCTTTCTACTTTATAATTTTGTAATGATTGCAATATTTTGATTACTATATCTTTATACTTTGGACTAATCTCATCAAATCCATCAAATAAAAATGCCATTCTCCCGCGATTAATAATCCGATTTTTAAATAATTCTTTTTCGAAATTTGTTTTTAGCTTTGACTGTTTATGTGATTCTAATAAATCATCTATTAAAAAATTCACCACTTCATTTTTATCATAATTACTGAATTCTGATTCCAAATTGTTCAACACTTTATTAAAGAGTTCAGTGTAATCATTTAAATTAATCCTAATCACCCATAGACTCAAATCATTTTTTAGCTTCATTGATAAACTAGTTAGTACTGTACTTTTACCCATTCCAGCTGTATCAGAAATAATAACTATTTCATGGTGATTTTTTTTGTCAACTAATTCATCTTGTCCAATCAAGCATGGGCGGCTATTACTATCAGTTTTATCTTTTAATCTACATCGTGCTAGATTAGTTGTAGAACCGTGAGATTTGTACCAAGCTAATTTTTCTGGATGGCTGCGTAACAAATGAATGTTAAATTTTGTATTTTCCTCATGTAGTTCTTCGAACTTCTGTTCAGCCAATTCTACTGTATCAAATGCGAAAATGTGTTTATTACCTTCCAATCCACTATCAGTACCACAAATAACAAATATATCGCTATCAAATTCTCTAACGCATTTTTTAATCTTTTCCATGCTAAAGGTTGCTGGCCTTAACCAACGATATATATAATAATAATCAACTTCACCTAAATTCTCTAGTTTCGTACCTATATTGATTTCCTCGCCCTTAATTAACTTGACTAATGTTTTTGTATCGATACTCAATTTGTTTAGTTGTGCATCTAACTGCTGTAAGCTTAGCCTTTCTCCTTGAAAAGTTACTTCTTTCTCTGAAAGTTTTTCTTTTGAATCAACAGTAAGATCATTAAAACTACTGTCATCAACTGGATATGTGAACTTGTAATCATCTTCAAATTTCTTAGCTAAAGCATTATCTTGCTCAGCGAGCAGAAGAATTTTCTTATTTTTCTTATTTTGTTCCAATGCATCAATCAACTCACAATATAAGTCAAATATCTCATCATCTGTAGCACCAGATGCACAGTGTATGATTAACAAATTGTGACTAATTTGAGATTTTAATGCTTCTAATACACGTTTTTGGGTTTTTGGCCGCAGTAACGTACTCAAACGCATAAAAATGTAAGCGTCGTGCCTTTCATATTGTGCAAAACCATCTTTATCTTTTAGATGTTCTAGTGCATTATAAACCTTAATTGCGCTTAAAAATGTTTCTTCTGACGGCAGATGAAAAACATTTTTTTCTGTAGAGGCAAAACTTTGTAGGAGATCAACGATGTTATTTTTTTCAAATTTCATACTATATTTTTCAAGTTTCTCGGAATACGCTAAATTCAAGCCCACAGATATTAGACCACTAACTTCCCGTTCAATTGACTCAAAAAACTGTTTGCCATCTTTTGCCTCGAGAAATCTGCCTTCCTTTCCTTTTTCTTTACGTTTCTTTTTAAACCAGTCCAACATTTTCGTTTGAAAGGAATCAGCTACTAATTCAGAATTAAGTAAATTAAATTGACTATGTTCCCCCAAGTTTCTTGCAATAATATTACCTAGCCTAACCTCATTAGGTTGATTGACGGCAAAAACTAACTTGTTTAGAAATTCATTTATTTCGTTTTCTTCAATCTTATCATTTGGCAGCGTAGGTTTGGATAGTAATAGTTCGCCATCAAGCGTCTCTTCACATGTCTTAAATTCACTTATTTTACATTCATATTGCTTAAGTTCACAAAAGTTTATGTTTCTATTTTCCAGCTCTTTTTTAAATGCAGCTCTGAAATTTTCTAAATTTCCAGCTAATTTATGATCTTCATCAAAAAACACTTCTCTAAAGCGTATTACACATTTTTCTTCGTCTTTCACTGATACGAGTATATGACCAGCCAATTTGTCAATGTTATATTTAAAAATATCTGCTTTATGAGTAATAAGAGTATCTGCAGCAATATATTCAGCAAATTTACTGGAAAATTGTTTTATGTCGGTAATTTCTGGATTAACTTGTGGCTTAAATACTTCTCCAAAATATTTAGATACAGCTATCTTTGTCTGGCGCAGCTTTTGCTTAAACTGATCTTCATCCAGTTCGAAAACCGATTGCAAAACATCTCGAAAATTTCTGACTTCTAGAGATATCGCATTCTTCACAAAATTATCACGAAACTTGGCATATTTTTTTTGTGGTTTTTTTCCAACATTTTCTTTAATATCAAATACTTCATTGCTTAGTGCACCATGGTATAGCTTAAAAATATGACTTCTTAGCTCCAACTTATTTTTAGATATTGTATCCTTCAATTCATTTGCTAATATATGTAAATCGGATGTATTTCTTAATATTTTATATAGGTCATGTTCCTTGTCATCTACAATAAGTTTATAAAACTCGCCTGATTTTGTTACATCTAGAATTTCATCTTTTTCTTTAATCTTCGCTGTCTCAATTCCTGCGTTTTCTAAGTTAACGAAATCAAAGTTTGCGTTGGTACAGATCAACAATTCAATTTCTTTCAATTTGTGGCTTTTAAATATGGAATCTTTCTTAATCTTACGATACGAAATAAAGTACTTTTGTAGACTAAAATCATCATCGTTTTTTGTAAGCAAATTGTGAGTAGTAATTTTTTTTGTTTCACCTGTTTCCTGCTTATGTTTTGCTTGCAAACACTTTATATTTTTCGCTTCAACATCATCTTTTCTTCTATACATGAAAACTAAATCGTCAAATTTTCCAGCATCCTCAACTTCTGTACCTAATTGAAAATCATAATCCATTTTTATGGCGCGTTTCAAGTATAACATTTGCAGTTTCAATTGGTAGATTGGACCATGCAAGTTGTGTACTAATCCACCTTTACGATAGTAAGTATTGCCTTTTGAATCAGTATCTGAACTATCATCCGATTTCAATCTTTTTTTATCGTTCTCAACATCAACAGAAGTAGAATTCCTTTTTCTAGCAGATGATTGACTTGATGTTCCCGGTTCAACATTCTGATCCATGGTTTCATTCGACTGTTGTGCTTTTTGAACTTCTTATCTTTTGGCACCACACCTTGTAGATCTTTCACTCGGTCAATATTTTTCAATTCATTGGAAATGAATTTCTCCTCAAATAAAAATGTTTTTACTTTTAACTTCAACTCAAAAGAGCCACTAATATAATTATTTATTCACTGTCTGACCATTGAATTAAATAAATTAGTTGAATGGTTCAAATTTTTGTATAGGAAACTATTTTTTCTCTGACGTTTACTGTCAAGTATAAGTGAGTCAACTATTATATTAAGATTGACACACCACAAGTCAATGTATGCTCTCGATAAAAATGTTAATGTATGAATCCAGTATTTAATGATAACAGGCAGTAGTACCCGATTTAAATATTCATGACATTCCACTTCATAAAAAAGCCGTTCTGTGTTGGAAAATAATTTTTATTCAGTTTATTTGTTCGCGCTATTTGTATTATAACATTCAACACTTGAGGATTAAGTTTGATATGCACAAATTTTACCAGATAATAAAATCATTTTACAACATCTGTAATATCCGTACAAGAATTAAATATTTCATTAAAAAGTGAGCGCGCGCCGCTTATATGTATTGTAAAGCAGAACTGTATACAAAACAACACAATAAATCATTGGACTCAATGCATTGAGTCAAAAAAAAAATCGCCAATATATGTATATATAAGTATAAGCTGTAAAATGTCAAATACACTCACAGTCACAGCTGTCAAATGAAGCTCAAATATATGGTGAAATTGCCAAAATCTGTATTCTGTGAGTGTATTTGACATTTTACAGTTTATTTTCAAGTGGAGGCGGCACTTAACTCAATTCAAATGAATGGACATTTTAATGAACGTATACATATAATATGAAAATTTTAAATGATTTTCAAAATTGAATAATACCCATAAAGAGATTATATGAATTGATATTTATCATAAAAATACGATCTGGACCATGATTGTCCATTGCTCCTGGCAACGTGTATGTCAAAATATATTCTCACATATCTAATACCATAAAATAAAATTTGGCAAAACTATTGAAATACAATTTTAAATTTATTCAGCAGCCGAAATCATTCATCGTCAAACATCATGAAACAGATTGTTTAAATTTCAAAAGATGTTCAGCTAAATTCATTTATGCACGTTAAACGGTATGGAAACAATAAATTTGCATATGTGATTGATGTCATGAGTGGATGACGACAATTCAGCTTATTTACAGAACATGTCCCGTGACATATTCAACAAACAAGTCGACATTAAAGTCTTTGAATCAGGTTTTTTTTCATTTTCCAGTAGTTTTGTTTTAGATTTTAGATTGAAAATTATCGGCTGAAGTTCTGAAATAACGGAAAAATTATATGCAAATCGTATTACAGAAACCAAACACCATCCATTTATGTTCCTGGCATTTTAAGCTAAATTGAAAATGGCATGGTACGAATTTCAAACTAAGAGCTGCTATGAGCATTCTTGTGGTGTATTGCAGTGCTACCTTACATAAATCATCTGATCTTCTCAAGTTTACATCTCTTATCGCTGAAATCGTCATTTCATGATATTGCGTTCACTTTCATTTAAATGCAATGTTCATGTTGAAATGTGTATGTATGAATTGAATCGTGCACACCTCGCACATTTATTTTGATACACAAGAAAAATTATCGAAATTTATTACTACAACAGCTGTAATTATTGCAAATAAAGCTCAAAGTGACTACCAAAATTAGACTATTTTTAAAAATATGAAACCCAATCGCACGTCAATATTGTTTATATTTTATATTGAACATGTACTAAAGTGGACAAAAAGGAGTAAGAATTTCGTATTTTGAAGGAAACCGTTGAAGTAATTTCATCGTCCCTTTTATGGCTAAATGGGTCCATCCCTCATGCACTTCTATGCCAAATTTGAGCACGATACAATAAAAACTACCAGTATTCATTTGTTGACTTGTTCAATTATACCTTAACAACCTTAACAAACAAAATCTTCTTATGGATAAGAAACACACAAACCGAATTGTATATCTACTCCAAGTTGATAAAATTTCAAGCGGAAACGTACATTTATAATACATTGCATCATACTGTTAAAATGACAGATAATATGTCTCACTTCCACATATTTTTTGGAACATTGCTCGTGATGATTCAAAAAAATTATCCGGATTTCAAAGAAAAATGTCCATTAAGTCATGAAAATTCAAATAATCAACGATTTATATGATGATTTTTTTCGCCAAAAAAATTCAAATCGTTTTTCGGCACGTTTTTTTCTATTAAAAGTGCTGTATTATTTTTCTTCTTTTTTCGTTTGATAATGACCTAGAGCGTAGAGCGTAGACAGAATGATTCAAAATCCTATACAAACCAAAACATCATTCAAACAAATGCTATTTATTATTCACGATGAATTTCGACACCATTTGTGCTTTTGCGTATATAATGTGATAAGGCGCGTTTGATTTTTAGCTATATATTCCAACAACGAAATTGTTGGTTCACAACCAAAACGGTTATTCTAAAAGAAGATTGACGAATCCAATGATTCGTATAGATCTTAAAAAATGTATATCGCTCTTTGGTAAGGCCAATAGTTCAAATTAGGTGTATCATCAGAGCATGTTTTACATTATCAAGTGCTTATTAAGTGCTTTTGTGCCTACATCGGCTAAGGCAGTTCACAGAACATTCTTTAAGTGAATATGATTGATTCAAAACAAAATATAACAAAAAAAAATGTTATTTAAGATGTCTATCATTGCTTTATTTGAAACCATCGCGACTCATTTTTAAATGTTTGGAACTAAATTAACTTAAAAATAATACAATTTTGATTTCTAATTTTATCGTTTTAAAATGGCAAAAAAATATGGTGCAAATCTTCCAATTTGGCTGGTTTTCTACACACGGGGCAGTTCGGCAAATCTTTCAATGACTTTTCGATACATGGTGGACAAAATACATGTCCACATGCTGTGGATGCTACATTCTTACCTAACATGCTTTCGAAACAAATGACGCAATCCGTTTCCGATGGTTGTGGTGCAGTTGGTTGATGAAAATCTCTGAACAAAATGTCATTTTGAATGGGTGATGTGATCTCAACTTCAACCGTTATGGAATTGTCATTAATAAATCCATTCTCTGGATTCAGTAGCTCCTCCCATGTTAAATTGACGGTATATAGCGCACTGCCTGGCTGAAAGTACTTACTTTTAATTTCTTCCACCGAATGCTCTTTTTTGCTTGACAGAATTCGGACCAACATCTGACGAGTGCATGATTTTTTGCCATACATAGCTAAACTCACACCAAATTGATTATTATGTTTGTAAACCGTTAGATACCATTGTAAATTTTCTGTCATAAATTGCGGTGATTTGACAGCCATCAACGATCGAATATTTTTAACTGTCAATTGATATTTGTGGCCATCGGTTTCAGAACCATTGCTGATATCTTTGAAAATCAATTCACTTTTATTCGAATCATACGGATCAGCCACATCAATTTGAACATCCAAAGTGATCATGTCATTCTTCACATAACATTTGCTTGCATCAAATAGATCGTTCAATAAAATCAATCCACCGCCATATCCATTTTTATAGTTGTACACGCATGGTAAGTAATGACGTTCAATTGCCTCGGTATTTTCATTAAACGATAGAAGTTTTATTGAGAATGATGCGACATAAGACCAATTGAATGATGTGTTTTGTTTCAGACAGTGCAGCGTAAAAACAAGATATTGTTTTCCATCATCCAATACCTTGAGAACACGAATCATCCACGGTACTCCACGGATCATTACTTCCGGTAAACAAATTCGCTCCTGCAATTCGCTAATGTTCGAAATTTCAATGAAAAACCGTGGAACTGATACATTTGGTGTCATTGTTTGGAGAAAACTCTTTGCATTTTGAATGGCAGAGTTTTCCATGAATGTAAATTCAAGTCGGATGCATTTGTTGTTAATGAAACTATTTGCTGGCTCAAGTAATTCAATCCACGGTATAAATTTTTCCATGCGACCCGCAACAAACTGTAGATCCGATTTCTCTTCACCTTTCGTCGAAAAAAGTTTCACCAACATTGATATTTCTGTGTTATCACTCTCGTATAAACTCATCGCAAGATGGTCTTCATATTTGCAAACGATTAAATTAAATTTTGTGTCTTTTATTTCGAATGTTGGTGATTTAACAGCCGTCAAATGTTTGATATTTTTGATGGTTACATTGAATTTAGAAAAAGATTCAGTTTTCTCACTTTTTTTAAAAATCAATTCACTTCGACGATTATTACGGTCCTTTGGAATAACGACTTCTATCTTCATTTTCAATTTTATCGCATCGCTGCTCACATAACCTTTGCTTGCATCCATTAAATCGTCCCAATCGATGAATGTCGGAGTGCCAAAAGTACTGTCGTTGTTATCAAAAACAGTCGGTAAAAGATGAAATTTAACGGCCTCAACATTTTGCTGATGCGATTCAAGTTTGAATGAAGCGGATGCCACGTAAGACCATTGTCCGAGTAGACTTGATAGAAAAACATTCTCTTTAACACAATGCAAATAAATGCCAAGCGACAATTTTGTTTCGTTGAAAAGTTTAACGATTTTAAGTTGCCATGGAATTTTTTGAATATATACTGTTGGTAAGTTGTAATAATCTTTTAATTTACTGATATTTTGAATATCGAAAGTAAAACTTTGTTTGAAAATTGACATTATTCACGAGTAAAAATCAACGCAACGAATGAAGTCTTTTTATGATTATAAATCACCAACGAGTGATCAAGTACAAGTAAAGATGGAACATTATCGCAACCGATTTTTTCGGAATCAATTTTTGAGCCGAATATTTATTCTTTTACCGAACATTAGCGATAACTGCTCGAATGACCGTGGTGTTTTATATGTTATAATTGGAATTTCCATACGTATTCATGTGTGATAGGCCAGACATTATGTTGAGATATTTTTGGGCGGCTGGATCAGCTCACGGTGCTAACGTCAGACGCTGAAATGGGGTGAAAGCACTAGAAGTGATTGTTATAGTGATTGTAGCATATGTTTTTATAACATTCTATTGTTCTCACTCTATTTCAGCACCAGAAGTAAGCTGCCTTAGCTGATCCAGCCGCCTGAAAATATCTCAATATAACTTCTGTGTGATACTCATATAATAATCTATCGTTCATTTTCTTCCTATTAGTACAAAAATAAATACATCGGCTGGCGGATTTCAATAGAAACCACGAGAATCTTCAAAATTACTTGTAAGTGTACGTAGTGATAAGGTCGTGTGATTGTATTGGTTTAATTTTTTGTGATTCGACATAAGAAAGAAGATGTGTAAAAATTTGGGTTTTTTTATTCAAGGAAAAGTGATTAGAAGTTCTTTAATAATCAAAAAATCATTATTCAAAAAAAAAAAGTTTTTATGGTTTCTATCTTTATTTTGGATTATCAAATGTAATATAATTATTAATGTTTGGGTGATATTGAAATGTTGTTTTATTTTTTCTAAAAAGTTAATTAAGATGAAAAAAAGAAGAATATTGCTAATTTAATTTCGTTTAAAATTCAAAATTCCCTTTTAAGCTAGCTGTTATATTGATTGCTTTCATTCATATGAAAAAAATATTTAATATCATTATTGAAAAATGCTTCGAAATGGCAAGAAAATACGGTGCACATCTTCCAATTTGGCAGGTTTTCTACACAATGGACAGTTCGGACGATTTCTGAGTGATTGTGTGATGCATGGTGAACAAAATACATGGCCACACGCTGTTGTCGAGGCGCTCTTCCCCTCCATGCTTCCCCAACAAATCACGCAATCCGATCTTGAGGTTCTTGTTGCTGGTACCGTTGGTGGCTGGAAATCACTGAACCAAATTTCATCTTTAATGGGCATGATCTCAACTTCAAGCGTTATTGAATTGTTGTTAATAAACTCATTTTCTGCATTCAACAAATCATCCCATTTTAAAAAATGGTCGGTATAAAGATCATTGCCTTGCCTAAAGTATTTCCTTTTAACATGTTCCACGGAATGTTCTCTTTTGTTTGAAAAGACTCGAACTAACATTTGACTCGCGCATGGTTTACTACCTAGAGTTGATCAGAAGAAAAGAATGGAAAAAATGGAAATTAATCAATGAGTAATGGAACAGAATGGAAAATGAATCGAAGGAATGGATCAGGAACTGTAGAGTAATGGAATAGTATTTTTTAAGTAAGTATGTCTTGTTTACTACCTTTAAAATCCAAACGGACACCGAATTGATTTCGATGCCTATAAATAGTCAAGTGCCATGGTGTATTTGCAACTATGAATTGCGGTGATTTAACAGCCACTAGCGATCGAATATTTATAATTGTTAAATAGTATTTATGGCGATCATTTTCGGAGTCGGTGTTGATATGAGCAAAAATTAATTCACTTTTATTCGAAGCATTCGGGTCAGCGACATCAATTTCAATATCCAAGGTGATCATGTCATTCTTCACATAACATTTGTTCGCATCGAATAAATCGTTCCATTCAATCAATGGATCACCGTAACCAAAACAGTCGTATACATTTGGTAAATAATGACGTTCAAGTGCCTCTGAATTCTTACTAAACGGCACTAGTTTCGTTGAAAATGATGCGGCGTAAGACCATTTCGAAGATGTGTCTTGTTTTAGGCAGTACAAAAAAACAAAAACTGTTTGTTTGTCATCGTTCAAACACTTGCACACTTGTACCTTCCACGGGATGCCACGAATCATTACTTCCGGTGAATAAAATCCTTCTACTTGCAATTTGCTTATTTTCGGAAATTCAATAGTGAACCGCATATGTTTAATTGGTACCGATGTACTTGAACTCATTTTTTGAAGAAAATTCTTTGCAAAATTCAGTGTCGGGGTTTCGATAAATAAAACTTCAAGTTTAATGGATTTATTCGTGACAAAATCGTTTGCTGGGTCAAGTAACTCATTCCACAGTATAAATTTGTCCATACCACCCACTTCAAGTTGTACAATTGATTTCTCATCATCCTTTGTCGAAAGGAGTTTCACTAATATTTTCCACGTAAATGATTCACCAACCATAGATAATAAACTGCATGCACTTGATTCAATGATTCATTGTTTATAGATATGGTCGTGGCGAGATGTTCTTGATGCTTGCAAACGGTTAAAGTTAATTGTGAATGCTTTATGTTGAATTTTGTCGATTTAACCGCCGTCTAGGGGGATTCCGCGCTCTTAAATATGAATAAATATGAACAAATTCGGGGGATTTCAACAAATTCAAGAGATGTTAACACAACTTTACGTTTTTTGGGAGATATTTTGAGATTTTCTGAACTGCAATACCGACAATGTTGAACTTGACAAGAACAGGGAATGAAGAAGTGGTGAATTATTATGAAAGCTTCTATATACTAAAAAATATATTGATTTGTTCTGATTAACTATTTGTTCAATCTCTTTTATACTTTGTTCATTTAAATTACTTAATGACACTCTATCGATTGCACAGACAGCCAAAATATCTTTAATAATTTTTGGAATTTTATATTCGTAGAAGTTTTGATACTCACGCCAGAACCGTTCCATTGCAAATGGCACATTTCAATTTTGCTTTGTAATGCAAAAACTTACACACATGTAACAAACAACTACCATGACAGCTTAGAAGCTGTCCCAATAATTCACCTATTATAAATAGGTCTGCAGCGCCAAAAATTCACCACAATTCATTATTATCTCATATTCACCCATATTCTAAAAATGTCAAAATATTCGACAAAATTTGAAGTATCCTACATGGTGGGTATCGGTGAATACTTACGGATATTGTCAGATACGGTGAGATATTTGAATTTTTATGAGATTTTAAGAATGAAGTTAAATTTTGGTACATAAATACGCGCGGAATCCCCCTAGACCGCCGTTAAGTGTTCGATATTTTTTATAGTTACATCAAATTTAGACGAACAATCAGTCTTTTCACTATTTTTAAAAATCATCTCACTTTGATTGCGACCATTTGGATCGTGGATTTTGATTTTTACGTTCAGCCTTCCCGTGTAGTATACGGGCGCTAATTTGAAGTCGCAGGCACTCTTATTCGCGCTATCGGAGATTCCTCTTTAAACATTTTCGCATAAAGACACAGCAACAGAATATGAGTTATGCATACAGTACATACAGTCGACAGAGTCACTTACTAGCATAGCACACAATATGAATAGTATGCACAATGTGCATAGTGTGCTATGATATTGAGCGACTCTGTGGACTGTATGTACTGTATACATAACTCATATTCGGTTGCTGTGTCTTTATGCGAAAATGTTTAAAGAGAAATCCTCGATAGCGCGACAAAATATTTTGCGCTCTCGGTCATTCCTCTTCCAAAGCGCAAATAAGAGCGCCTGCGACTTCCATTTAGCGCCCGTATACTACACGGGTTATCGTGTCATTGTTCACATAACGTTTGTTTACATCAATTAAATTAAACCAATCAATGAATGACGGTGTACCAAAAGCACTGGTTTCGTTATCAAAAACTCGTGATAAAAGGTGGTATTCAACTGCTTCCACATTTGGGTCATGCGACAGAAGTTTTATCGAAGCCGATGCCACACAAGACCAATTTGTGATCCCATCCTTCTTTTGGCAGTGCAGATAAACGTCGAGCCATAATTTAGTGCCGTTGAAATTTTTGCCGACTTTAATTTGCCATGGAATATTATGAACAAATATTATGGGTGACCACGATTCTCGCGATTGATAGATATTTTGAATGTCGAACGAAAAATCAACTTCTGGATTGGACATGTTTCACGTCTGAAATGCAACGAACAACTAACATATAAAGCCGCTTTATGATTGTGACGAAATTCGCGGTGATCATTGCGGTATGTGATGAAATAATGTTTTAAAACGATGAATCACAATTGTTTATCACACATGCGTACTTGTAGCGTCTTATATGTGAGAACTTTCATACGTATTTACGTCCGATGTTTCGCACACACTTTCTTTCATTCTCTCGTTCTTACAACAACAAAAAATAACAATATCATCACCTAATGTGCCGATTTTAGTGGAACAGCTTGATAATCACATGTGCTTGTGTGTGATGGGAGGATGTGATTGTATTGGTTTTACCGTTTATGTAAAATATCTCAATTCGTTTTCATTCAGCTTCGCGTATATTTTTCTATTTCATAGCGTATTTTCCATGGACAAAATCAAATGGCTTGAGTTTTAGGTAGAATATTTGTGTGAAACAAAATCGATTAGAAATATTTTCAGCTAAATGACCAATTTTTGATAGTTTGTTGATCTTTGTTACACTGTGAACACAGTCAATAATTTTGTGCTTGATCAATATTGACTCGGGTTTTAAAATTACTCGACTGGTTTGAAATAAAAATATTTTCGTGAGGGAGAGAGGGTTTGGTGCACAACAGTTGAGTGGAGTGATAAAAATGTTCATACTCATGACATACTGTCATACATGAATACAGAATTATAAACAATTTTAACTCTCTCCAATACAGTATTCGAAAAATAAGAAAAAAACAAACATAATTATTTCTCTTTGCTTTGCACGAAACACAAAAAAAATCATTTCCGAGAGATTGTATTATATGAACGTTCATGCATGAAATCGACTTTGAAGCCGATTACGCTGTTTATTATGTATAAAGTAAGAACATCGCAGTTAAATATAGAGAAATGAAAGAAAAAAAATGCAAATTAGGATATTTTCTTTCGTCACAATCTCTAGCAAAAAGGGTTTTTTTTTCATTTTTCATTCCCACTAGAAATATCGGCGCCTGCTGAAATCAGTATAAATACACAGTCTGATCATTTTTGTGCAAAGCGAAAGATATTTTCTGAGGTCAATATTCTTGTTTTGCTTGAAAAACTAAATATCGCTCGGATTTTAACAAACCTTTGATTCATCTTAAGGACTAAGACAAAGTGCTTTCGTGCCAACATCAGTCAAGCCAGTTCACAGAGCATTCTTTAAGTGAACATGATCGAACATGATTGATTCAAAATAAAATATAATAAAAAAATGTCATTTAAGATGTCTATCATTGCTTTATTTGAAACCATCGCGACTCATTTTTTAATGTTTGTACGAATTTGAATGGATTAAAGAATCAAGAAACTAAATTAACTTTAAGCAATAAAATTTTGTATTTTAATTTTAAAATGGCAAGAAAATACGGTACAAATCTTCCAATTTAGCTGGTTTTCTACACACGGGGCAGTTCGGCCAATCTTTCAATGACTTTTCGATACATGGTGGACAAAATACATGTCCACATGCTGTGGCTGATACATTCTTACGTATCATGCATTCGAAACAAATGAAGCAATTCGTTTCTGATGGTTGCGGTGCAGTTGGTTGATGAAGATCTCTGAACGAAATGTCATTTTGAATGGGTGATGTGATCTCAATTTCAAGCGTTATGGAATTGTCGTTAATAATAAATTCATTCTCTGGGTTCAGTAGTTCATCCCACGATAAAACATCGTCTGCACCTAGACCAATGTGTTGTTTTTGTTCAACCGAATGCTCCAATTTGGTAGAAAGTATTCGAATTAATATCTTACGAGTGAATTGCTTGTTGCCATTCAAACCTAAACGCAAACCAAGTTGATTGTTATGTTTATAAATGGTGAAATACCATAGTAAATTATCAATCATGAATTCGGGTGTTTTTACAGCCATCAGTGATTGAATATTTTTAATTATTAATTGATATTTATGGTGATCATTTTTACAATCATTCTTGACATACTTAGAAATCAATTCACTTTTATTCGAATCATACGGATCAGCCACATCAATTTGAACATCCAAAGTGATCATGTCATTCTTCACATAACAATTGGTCGCATCAAATAATTCGTCCCATTCAATCAATCGATCACCATACTGGTTATTATCAGTGAAGACGCGTGGGGAAAAGTGACGTTCAACTGCTTTTGCATTGTCATTAAATGGCACAAGTTTTGTTGAAAATGACGCCGCGTAAGACCAATTTGAAGATGTCTCTTGTTTTTTGCAATATAAGTAAATAAAGAGTGAGTATTTTTCATTGACCAATTTCTTATAAACATGAACCATCCACGGTATGCCACGGATCATTACTTCCGGTGAATAAATGCCTTCCTCCTGGAAGCTGCTAATTTTCGCAATTTCGATGGAAATTTTTGTATATTTGATGGGAATGGATATATCTGACGACATGGTTTGTAGAAAGTTCTTTGCAAACTTCAGAGTAGACTCTTCCACAAATGAAACTATAAGTTTAATTGAGTTATTTGTGACAATACCATTTGATGGCTCAATTAACTCAGTCCATGCCATAATTTTTTTTATTCTTGACCCATCATATTGTACAAATGATTTGTTTTCATCTTTCGTCGAAAAAAGTTTCACCAACATCGATATCAGTAGTTTTGAACCATTCATACATAAATTCATCGCAAGATGGTCTTCATATTTGCAAACGATTAAATTTAACTTTGCGCCTTTTATTTCGAATGTTGGTGATTTAACAGCCGTCAAATGTTCGATATTTTTGATCGTTACATCGAATTTAGAAAAAGATTCAGTTTTCTCACTTTTTTTAAAAATCATTTCACTTCGACGATTATTACGGTCCTTTGGAATAACGACTTCTATCTTCATTTTCAATTTTATCGCATCGTTGCTCACATAACCTTTGCTTGCATCCATTAAATCGTCCCAATCGATGAATGTCGGAGTGCCAAAAGTACTGTCGTTGTTATCAAAAACAGTTGATAAAAGATGAAATTTAACGGCCTCAACATTTTGCTGATGCGATTCAAGTTTGAATGAAGCGGATGCCACGTAAGACCATTGTCCGAGTAGACTTGATAGAAAAACATTCTCTTTAACACAATGCAAATAAATGCCAAGCGACGATTTTGTTTCGTTTGAAAGCTTAACGATTTTAAGTTGCCATGGAATTTTTCGAACATATACTGTTGGTAAGTAATTGTAATCTTTTAAATCACTGATATTTTGAATATCGAAAGAAAAACTTTGTTTAAAAATTGACATGATGCACTAGTAAAATTCAAAGCACAACTGACAGATAAAGTCTTTTTGAAATTATATAAAATATCGCCCACGGAGAGAAGATATATATGTGTCAAATATACACATAGTCGTACGGTTGAATGTGTGATCAAAAGTGTTTACATCTGTTATTTATTTCGCATAATCTTCTTTTGCAACAAAAACAATTTCATTGGCTGGTGAGTTTCGGTAGAATATTAAAACTTTCGAAAACATCTGCGCTTATACGTATAGTGATAAGGGAGTGTGATTATTTCAGCCATGTCGATTTTCTATATTTTAAATGTTTTTTTTTTGTTCACAAAAAATAATGTATGCTAAAAAAAGACTGGAAATTCCATGAGATGTGATTATTCGATGATTCAGATTTTAAAATCATAACAGGTCTTTTGAGTAATTAAATCATTTATTACATTTTCAATTCTTTTTGTGAGATAATACAAGTATACAAGTAACTCATTGTTTCCAAGGAATATATAGTACGTAAGATAGATGTCTATTTCTTTTGCTGTTAAATTCTTTGAAATGGGATTTTCGTCAAACAACTGGGTATTTACCCAAAGATAATGCATTGACAACACAATAATCAGTCATTTGCTGTTAATTATATTCTTCGCTCTTATCACAATTTGTCGAAGCTACTTCACATAACATTAAAACCCACGAAGAGCGTTATGA